AGATTGCTTAGGGGTCACTTGAGAGCCTAAACAATTTGGTGAAGATAAACACCACCGACCCAATATGCTTTTTATCAACACCAATTATATTCCTTCCATCCAGAGTGACAAAATGTAATAGAATCTGCTGATGAAAACCAAAATAAAACTGGAACCAATTACTTTTAAAAAGTATGCCGTGAGAGAAAGACTTCAGAATGTTGCCCAAAGGTAAGATATTACTAGTTATGCCCTTCAAGTTTTGCCAATATTCAGAGCTTTGAAGCTTGTGTTTCTTTAGAAGAAAATTAGATGATGATATATGAAGCATTTCTTTAATGGCATACAGTTCACTGTCCCAAAATGCTCCTTTTAAGCAACGTGCAATTTCTTCATTCAAAGTCTGACAGCAGTCACAGCTTGGTGCTCATCATCTTCTCACAGAGCCACACTTCCCCTCCTTATCCAGCCATCTTAAAAACCACAAATGCAGCTTGGTTATCTAAAAGGAATTAAGTCTCTTGCTTTGGATTTTGGCAAATTCATACAGATGTTTTGTCACTAGTGATGTCCATTTCCAAACTGTGCCCTGCACACATGTAGAACCATTCCTACACTCAGAGGAAGGCTTTGACTTTCTCCTGCACACTGTTACATGCTGGCTCAGCTTAACTAGCAGAAGCAAGCTGCATTTAATGAGGAATACCTACACCCTTGCCAAGTAATGCTCATAAATGATCTTTTGAAGCAAATCTAGGGAACGACAACAAACGTCATGGCCTGCACTGATTTCAGGTGATTAAATACTTGACTTTTACTGAGATACTGATATTTATAAAGAATTATAAAAAACTATTTTTCAGGCTACATCAGTATGACATTTCAGGACCCTGTTCTCCCCTCGTTATGGAAATTCACAGTAACAGTTGTTAATCAGTTCTGCTACTTCAGTCACAAGCTAAACTTCAGCAACCTTGCCCTGGTTATACCTGAAACTGTGGAACTCGGATTCAGTCAAAAAAAGAAACTGAGAGTTTCTAGCCAGGCAAAAAGCCTGGGCAAGAGCTGGAGAGAATGTAAATAATTCTTTATCTCTCTTGTTTGTCACATTGTTTATAGTTAAGTTCTATCACTGTGCATCAAGCACTCTGCACCAATGTTGTGGGTTGTTTTCATTTCAGAACCAATAGATTTGGCCTTTGCAAAGCTCTGTATGAAAGAGCAGTGTATTTTTAATAAATCAGAATTTTACTCTCAACAGCCTTCTAGTCAGAGTCTTCTCATTCCTGTCCTACCTTGACAGCGACATGAAACAAATGGAATTGATGAAATAACTTTAAACCATATCATGAATTATACTTTTGTTGCACCACTAATTCAAATCCAGGTACTTAATTATATCTCCTTTCATGTGGTCATCTGTATTTACATTTTTTGTTATTAGCTTGCCTGGCAGAGATGAAAACAGGAAGCACAATGCAGGAAAAGAGAGCATTTTGGTATTTTCATATTGGCCCGTCTTTGACACAAATCCTCCACTTCATCAAACCTTGACTTATGATCCACAGAAAGAAAATAATGTACATTACTGAGTATTCCTCTGAACAGAATGGGATGTGAAGTGGAGCTTGTGTTATTTAACTGCTAAATTAAATCTCAGGCTTTTTTTTTCCCTCATGGGAATACACATTCTCTGCCTGTTCTTGGAAACAGGCAAATAAAAGATGGAGAATGGCAACAGAAATATTCCTGCTGTCCCAAGACTACAGTTCATTAAATCAATAGCAAACAGGTACATTGTATGTCCCAGTGTCTTCTTCTGAGCTAATGTTATCTTTTGGACAAATAGACCTAACATTGGCTGTACAATTAATAGTGTCTGTAGTATGAAGTAAACCAGATTTTACTCACTTTACCTCAGCATCACTGATGAACTTTCACTGGCTTTAAAGGCAGATGACAAAAGGAACCTGTGTTCACCTGGGAGTGTTATGTACTGGAAACCAACAGGTACTTCTTCCATACTGGGTTATAGTGCAATCAATAATCAGCAAAGGAATAGCCCTTTCTTCAGAGATCTCCTTAGCTGAAAAAAAATCCTATAAAACATAGTACAAGTAATTTCTTTCCTTCTTTTCTCAGAGATTTCCTGAACCACATTCGGAGTAGAACCTGGGCGATCCAGCACCCCCATTTTGCATGAAAGAATACCACTGTGAGGAATTCAGTATCTGACACAGCATGGTGGAGTGACCCCACAGCTTGCCATAAAATGGCAGAGTGATTCATGGTATCCCACAAAATGGTGGAGTGTCCCACAGCCTGGCACAAAATGGTGCTCTGACCCCACACCAGACCCTTTCCCTGCCTTGCCCTTCCCAGAGTGGCAGACCAACTCCCCACCTTGCCCTGCCCCTGCCCAAGATGCCAGCCTGTCCCCCCACCCAGGATGGCACCGCAGGTCCGTGCGGCCCCACAGGGCCCGGCCAAGCACAGCCGAGCCTGGGGAGCCCCTGGGAGCGGAGCTGAGGCCGGGACACGCCCGAGCTCCGGGGCTGCCCTGCCGTGGGCTGAGGTGCTCGGGGCACGCTGATCCCAGAGTGTTACCTACATACCTTTCTCCTTTCTCTTCCTCTTTTTTCTCCTACCTTCTTCTCCAAATACATTGTACACCAAACTAAAAAATTCCAAGCAATGCTTTAGTAAGTGCCCTGTTGTGTTTGGCTAAGTTAAAGTTCACCAAGTTCAGGTTTGTGAAGTACTTTCCTTTGGGTGGTGTTTAAAATTTGCCAAGAACCTCACTGTATATTTGTGCTCCAAAGTTTGCAAGTCTGGCTGAGCTTCACACCCATACAGCCATCCCCTCTCATCTCCCTGCATGACCCACAAGGAAGGACTGACAGTTCTTCTTTATTCACCATTCCTGGCACTCCCTTCTACTCTTCTTTACCTGTAGCTGTGGAAGAGTGTTTTGTCTCCACATTTATGGCAAACTAAGTAATAACAACGCAACAACAATAATAATAACAATATTATTGGTAATAAAACTTTGAAAGTCACTGATGATGTTAAAATTATCTTACCATTAGAAGATTGTTTGTGAAGAGCTTTAAAATAAAATTGAGAAAACCTGGAAAAGACAGCATTCTTCTGAAGAACAGGCTGGCCCTCTGAAGGTGTAGGTGTTTCTAAGACCAGATCAGAGTTGTAGCCAACCTGCCTTTTCCCCGTGCCCACACAACATCTGGAGAAAGCTTGAGACAACCTGAAAAATCGTAAGTAAATGCTCCCCTCTGTCTGTCCCCTACCCAGCCTTTCTCCAGGTCTCTTTTCCAGTGTTTACCCATCAAACCTTCCCCGAGAGTGGGCGTGTAACATATCTGCAGATGTAAACAAGCTGTGAAATCCTGCTGGGACAGTGTATGAGCTACTGAGAGCTCAGCAAACAGAGAGTGGGGCTTGAGAGCTACACAGCATCCCCATGAAGCAGAGACCACTGTGCTGCTGCAGTGACACAACAAGTGGTGTGTGAGAGCAGACACAGAGCATTTCAGCAAAACACTCAGGAATGCAGCTAAATTGTGGCTATTGTCTACCCCACTCTGAAAGCCACCTTTTGCCCTCTATTAGATCAAAGTATCAGATTCATTGTAAATGTACTCCCACCGTATACTCTACAAACACTTACTCTCGTGGCACATTTATTTAACACACAGAGAACTGATCCACTGTTCTGCCTTGCACTGGTTACTTTCAAGGACTCCCATTCTGCCTGAGAGAGAACAGATATAAATAATTATAGAATAAAATGTTGTCAGAGAATAATGTTCTCTGGCTGCTTTGGTCCAATGAAAGCCAAAGCCACCATAAAACTTTCAGGGAAAAGCGCAAGAATTAATTCTACGAGGATAACACTCTATCACACTGCCTTGCTGCTAATATGCCACAATAAATTAAAATATCTTGGTCTCTCTGTATACAGTTTAACTTATACACCTAATTTTCGCCTTTTAAAAATTAACCTTGGAAAATTAAATGTATCTCCTCACAGATATGAATTTTATAGATCACATTTTAGAGTTCAATATCTCAGTATGTTATTCTCATTTCTTTTAAGGACATCAATGGCCACATTTTTTTTTAAAGAGTGAGAATTTATAGAACATCCAAGTTCTTGATTACTTACTGGATAATGTGGATATGAAGAAAAGCTAGACAGATTTCTAAGGAATTAATTAGTAATCCTAAGGACCACACAGCATAAAAAATAACAGTGACAATATTAAGCACTTTGCAGATACACACCATTCTTTTATAATTATTATTTACATGCAATTCTCCAAGTCCATTTCTGTGTCCTCCCCAGTACATTCATTACAGAAGTAACTCTAAGAGCTGCTTGACTTGTTTCTGTGATTTGTTAATGGCAGCTTTAGTCTGCTTTACATCTTTTAGTATAAAATTTGCTGGGGTTTGGCAGTATGTACTAGCAGTTAGCTGCCTTTTGAAAAGGTCAGGGATTGCTAGAGTGCTGACAGTTGTATTTCTTTCAGATTTCTGTGTGCACTGATTTTAGGAATGCTCAATTTTTTAGCCATAATCCATTTATATAAATGTAATTTCTGAGTTAAGTGACACACTGCTGAAAAGCAGACTTATCTGAAATTTTACCAAAACACGTTATAGCCATTCAACAAATGAATCATCAGTTTTACTTAACATAATTCATCTTGAAGCTTATATGTGTATGTGCATTTTATCAATTACCACAGATCACCACGAATGTGCAGCCAGTCCATGCATCCATCATCCATGCAGACACCTTGGAAAAGGGCAAACTTTGAAGCATGTCTCAAATGATGTATGTATTGAGAGAAGAAATTCTGTTTCAGAAGCAAAATGTCATAAAACATCCCTGCACCAAAAATAATAGTAATGAAACAGCTTACTTGAGTTTGTTTAAAACAAACTAGGCCAGAATTCTTATCTTGGATGCAAAAAAAAGAGGCAGACCACTTTTATGAATGCCATAAAAATAAACTATTTTAATAGGTACATAAATAAAAGGTTTAAAGTAGAATTTCCCCCCCAAACATCAAGATGGCCTAGCTTCTGTACAGAAACTGAACAATATTCATGGGACTCCTAAATTAAATAAACCCTTTGTTACATTCAAAACCACTGAAGGCAAATACATAATGCAGTGACGCACCTGAATTGGTCTCCTTCTTCATCCTAGCAGTGTATACAGTATTTCCTTGGTTTACAGTACTCTGAGGATATGAATCTGTTAAATAAACTCTGAATGACAGGGTGGAAATAAAATTTTAAAAGTCAACATTAAAAGAACCCAAACAACCCTGGCACCCACAGGGGTACCTTGCATCAGCCAGGAAACTTTAATGGAAGAGAAATAAGGATTGTGCTGTAAAATAAATTATATATTTTACATATTGTTGTTTAGTTATCTTAAAGTGTTTAAATATTACATTCACTTTGGTGATGTGTTTTTGTCCATGCCTGTAATAAATTACACGAGGCGTGTGCTCGCTGGTCATGTGTTTTACTGCAAATGGGGGGAGCTCAGGACATCTAGGAAATGTTAAAAATATTTCAGATCTAGTTAAGATGGACAAAATCTAATTTGAAGCAGCTTTCCTCCTACCATGTCCTCCTCCCCAGCACCTCTACAAAGTTACCTGATGGCTTCAGTTTTTGATGTGTCGTATCAAAACATGTCATAGGTTGATGACTAACACTTACTGACACACAGAGGTTCTCGTGTTTTACTTCTCCCTCTGAGCTATCTGTCAGTTTGAGAACATCTGCCATTAATATCTCCACGCTCTCCGAAGATTCCAGCTAATTAAGGCAAGGAGCCTCATTTGTCCATCAAAGCTACATTTCCTGAAACAAGATGCTATCGTTGTTGTTATCTGGAATGTGTCTGGTGATGAGTGAGGACCACTCATCCTGTGAAGGAGAAAGTCTGTCACATGGTCACTCAGAGTGCTAAGGTATCTTGTGCTGGTCAAATCAGAAACAAAATTAAAAGATGACAACTTTCATTCATAGTGCAGAACTGGCATTTCTAGTCTATTCCATCAGAAGTTCAAGAAGTGGGGCCAGGCTGACTCAAGCCTGGCCAAGGAGCCTGCTTAGAGTTTACCCACCAGCAAGACGTGACCGGCAGTGAAACGACTGCCCCTTTTTCCGATTTGCTTTCTTCTTCTTCTTGATCTTCTTCTGCTTATTCGCACCTTTGCTTTTGTCTGATTTCTTTTTCTTTTCGTCCTCCTTAAACCACGGCCCCCAGACTCCTCCGTTGAGCTTGGGGTTACTGCGAGGGTCCTTGGGCGGGTAGCGGACGGGGACCGCGGTCTTGTTGAACTGCGAGAGCCTCCGCAGCAGCTGCTTCACCACCTCGGGGTGCCTGGCAGACAGGTCCACGCGCTCGTAGGGGTCGGCCGTGATGTTGAAGAGCCACACGGTTTTGCCGGCTGACCAGGAGACGCGCTCGTTGTGCCAGCGGTTGGGACCCGCGTTGCTGAAGGCCTGCGGGGGCACCCAGTCACTGTAGCCCGGGTTTCCCGTCAGCAGTTTCCAGTGATTCACTCTGATGGCAGACTGGATGGCAGTGTTCCAGATCCCATAGCCAGCGGCCCAGGAGCCATTCTTGGCTTTGGTGTAGATCGGGTCGATGTTGTGCAGGATGTCCACCCGCGGGGAACGCCTGCCCTCGCTGATGGTTTCCCACACGTCGTAGCCGTCCAGCTGGATGTCTTCATCGATCTGCCCCTCCGCCAGCGTGATCAGCGTGGGGAACCAGTCTGTGATGTGCACCAGCTCCTTGCATACAGACCCTTTGTTTTTCAAAAGGGGGCTGTGCACGAACCCGACAGCGCGGATACCGCCTTCCCAATAGGTGCCTTTGCTCCCTCGGAGCGGCCAGTTACTGCCTCCAGCCATTGGTTGCCCACCGTTATCAGAAGAATAAATGATAATGCTGTTCTCATAGTAGCCATACTTCCTCAGAGCGAGGGTCACATTGTTTATGGCCTCATCCAAGCAGGCTAGCATGGCCGCGTACCGCCGCCTGTTGATGTTGTTTATCGAGCGATAATGTTCAAAATACCTTCCTGGTGCCTGAAGAGGCGAATGGACAGCTTGGTAGGCAATATACAGGAATATGGGTTTCCTGGGGTTATGAGAAGCCAGGATCTGCTGCACTTTCTGCGTGTACATCTGCGTGGAGTAGATGCCGTTGTCGTGGTCCCAGGCGGCGTTGTTGTTCTCGTACAGGTCGTAGCCGCATATCCCGGGGCTGTCGCACTTGAAATGGGTGTAGTAGTCGCCGCTGCCCAGGAGCGAGCCGAAGAAGGAGTCGAACCCCCTCTGTGTGGGCATGCACTCCCTGCGGTAGAACCCCAGGTGCCACTTGCCCACCATGTGCGTGGAGTACCCAACCTCCTTGAGCTTCTGAGGTAGCGTGACGTTATCCAGAGGTAAGCAGTTGGGCTGCGTTGGCCGGATGATGGAGTGCTGCAGTCCCGTGTGGATCTGGTACCTGGAGGTGGGAGGAGAGAGGCGTCAGGCTGGTGGAGGAAATGCTTAGGTCTATGGACACCTTAACCCTAATACAAAATATCCCTTTGCATGCCAAAGCCTCATCTGGAAATATTTCAGGGTGCCTGTGTGTGCTGCTTTCAAAAACCAGCTTGATCACACCATCAAATCTGTCCTTGCCTCACTGAGGGATGAAACCTCTCCCTCCATGTTTCAAGCTACTCAAAATACCTACATATACAGGAGCACAGGTACATTGAAGCAACCTCCTCTCCTCCACATGTCTCCATTTAACAATGGCTATAGAAAATTATGTGGATAAATATAATTTTTACAGTGCCTCATAATTTGCTAGTGGTGAACGTATCTACAGCATATAAAAATGCTGGGCTTTGAGCGTGTAAGAGCAGTATGTTTAAAGGATGGGATAATAAATTCTGCAGTGCACTACAGGCTATGTGTAAAGAATACATATGGCCTCCTTATGATGAGAAAATGAATCCAGCACAGGCAGCAGTAAGTATCAAAAATGAAGGGCATATATATTTATACCAGTTTGACACTAAAAAAGGGAATGTAACAGCAGACAGTAGACCAAAGCAACTTCTCCCTGAGTATAAGAGTAGGTTCAATTCTCAGCCATGCATAGAACACCGAGGTCCACCAATACTGCGTATCTCCCCCAAAACCGGTTCTTATTAATTTGTGGTAGCAGGAGCTGGAGTTTCTTGACACATTCTCCTGGTGCTGCCAATGTGATTGGCCTCCTGAGCTGCCTAGAAAATTAAAACCATTAGGCTCTGCCTGTCCATAAATAACTTAAAGCCTGCTTTCATATGAGGGCTTCTTGGCCAAGATCTCCAAAGGCGCCATAGCTGTCTTTAATGGCTGGCAATGTGTATGGATTGTGCCACTCCCATTTAATTCTGGAGCTAATTTCCCTGGACCCAGAAGCTCCGGTCTCACTAAGTGCCTGCAGAAGCTCTGGGTGTTGTGCTGCTCTGGACCCAGCGTGTTGCAGTGCTGCTGCTGCGCTCTGCCCCCCCCGGCCCCTCTGCACAGCATTGTCTCTGGGACCAGGCTGGGGACCTGGAGCCTTGCCACCCAATTGTCCCCAAACTCACAGGCTGGTGCTGACAACGCAGGAGATGTTGCAGGAGAGAGCTAAAACATACCCTGAAACATATGGGTTTATGGGATCTGCGCTTCGCTTTTGTAAAAGAAATGTCACACACACACAAGTCTCACATCATTCCCATGGTTTAGCTGAAATATTCTACTTTTAAAACAGGTAAACTACAACCAGGAAAGCCATGCAGTGCCCCATACTTCAGCTCATCCCATATTTGGGACTCCTCAGGGAACTACGTCCACAAGGCATTTCATTTCCCTCCCCTTCTCTTTCCTCTGCCTTGTTAAATCCTTTCAGAAAATTCCCATTTTTTTATCCAACTGGAAAAGTCCCTGTCCCCACTTGGCTATTTTAATTGACCGTTTCTGCTTTCTTCACTCTGACAGCCTCCCTGACCACAAGGTCAGATCGCTGTCCCAGCTGGGCAGCTCCTCCAAAATAAGCTGATTTTGCTGGAAGTCAGGATTTTCTCTGAAGGGACCTAGCTGGATCCTTCCACCACCCTTCTCTGAAAACTGAGAAGCTGGGCCTGAGGGGAACAGGCCACAGAATCTGTAAAACACTGCAAACCAATCCTCCTCTTGTAGGCAAATGTCTACACAGAAAGCACGATGGTCACACAACATTAATTGCCAGCAGGCAGTTTCCCCAGTGAGGGCTTTTCAACTAGAGATCCAAGCATGAAATTCCTACACTGTTGATCTGACGAATATTGAACCAAAAACCAGCAAGAATTAGCCTCAGTCACAGGCATTCAGCAGTGCATCTTGTTTCAGCGGTGCCCTCAGGAAGCTATTCAATATGCTGGTAACACTGCACATCTAACATAGATCCATCTATATGCACACGTATTCCCTGCTGCTGCCTCTTTGCAGGAGACTTTGGTGTGTTTCCCAGATGTGTGTGTGCCTGTGTGCTATTTTTGGCATGGCTGTGCTTTGGAATATACCTATAGGCACACAGACAAAGAGACACATTTTTATACTCATACGTGTTAAAAAAGAAGCCTGCAACCAATACATTTTAAGGCAAAATATTTCAAGTGGAGAAATGCTTCAAAGAAACATCAACCTCTGATTATAAGAAGACTGTTCACTATGACAAAAAAGGTCAAGATTTGTACACTTTTCTGCACCACATGCTTTTCTAATTGATCCATTATGTGCCAACATACTTTTTCAGCAAAAGCATTTAATTTTCAAAGGACATGCAGGGCATTCATAGAAAAGCTAAGTAATCTGAGCAAATGACAGTGATGATATGGAAGCAAATGGCACTAACAGCAATAGGAAAAGTGTCTCAAAACAAGTGCTCTGAAACTGTTTCTAGACTGTGCAAGAGGAAAAAAAAACAGAACCAGGCAAAAAATAAAGGGATTAGGAGGTAGATGATGATTTTGAGGGTGTTCTCTAGCAGATAAAGACATGAATTCACCAACTACCACAAAATGTCTCTGAGATACATCCTACAGATTTCACAGCTTCCACTTTTTAGAATAAATTGGCTGAATTTAATCCCAAATGCAGAAAGCAAGTTAGGACTGTGAATAGTCTGGAATTCATTTTAAGAATTTCTGCACTAGTAACCAGTCAAATCTAAGCAAACGCTGACAGGCCACAGAATCTAATTTCATAGTTTTTTAGACTTTGACCTTTGTGGGCATTATTTACATATAGGCCATTAACTGCTAAGAGCCTGTATAAAGAGTAGGGGTTCAAGACTTGGGAATATTTTAGATGCATGTGCTATGCTCTCCTTCTCTCTGCTCCTCCGAGATTCTGGACCATAGGTGTCTCCTTTAGAATACCTGAAATTTGCAATTTGCAGAACAAGGAACTAAGTAAAATCTGTGCAAAATGTTCAGCTAATAAGAAACATATTGAAAAATAATTTCTCCTCACTATACAGGGATGGCTCTGTGCATTTTCTACTCTAGTTTTTGTTTTCCTGGTGTGTTCAGTTGTTCACAGTAAGCTCACTGTGATAAGTGTTGCAGCCAAGGCAGATGCTCGGTGCTGGCTCACTGACACGCTGAGCTGTTTTCTTGTTTGTAGGGGAGACTTTAAAGCAATGGACTCCCTCTGGGAGCATCCCAATGACTTCATTATTGCCCTTTGCTTCTTGGATGCTCAGAGAAATATTTCAGAGGGTTCTTAAAATAAATAAATAAGCAAATAAATCCTTCCTCCTGAGTGTGAGCTCATGACACCCCTTTCCAACACAAGTTCCCTTCCTGTTTTAATTTAGACACGAAGCTGGCAGTGGCTTCACACCATTTGTGCCTCCAGTTTCAAGGTGCAGAGGCCCTTAGGCTGCTGAAGGTGAAGTGCACACTGAGGTGCAGGAGTGTTATGGATGTAAAACACCACAGGCACGCTGAAGTCAGTGAGACCTGAGCTTGAGCAATGTGGTAACATTGGGAGGCTTCATTTTCCCCTTCTGAGGCCCTCAGTAGTGTTGCATTAGTTTCCAGCTCACACTGCAGAGCAGGAGATCAGTGACAGAATCTTTGCACACTTTTGCTGCTGTTCCCCTGCAGCAGAGAGCAGGGCTGAGGGACTGTGGAGGGAAATGGATTCTCCTGGCATGCCCCACATTCCCTGCACTGCCTCACACACATGTAGGCCAAACCAGCTTTCCTGAACAAACCGTTCACTGAGGAGTTTTCTATTGAGTGTTTTCCCCCTTAACTTCAGGGTGGGTTCTGCACCATGATGAGCAAGAAGCTGGGATGTTTCTCATTTTGTAATGTGCATGTACAACACTATTGATTTCAAGCTCTCAAAATTTTCAAATACTGCATTATTGTCTTCAAACTGAGATTCTTTTATGGCTCACTGTAGATTAACACAGAAGCTCAGCTGGAAGTTTCTAATTTCAGGAACTTTTGCTAGCATAGCTCTCGTTAGTTAATGTGGAAAATGTATTTTTATTATGCTTGCATAGCTCAGGATATGTTGAAAAAAATCTCCATTTCAAAAATAATAAACTCTAGCCTAGGATTTAGAAAAGGACACTTTAAATAAAAACTCCAAGTTTGACAGCAATTGTACAGAGCGTGACAGCACTGTGGTCTGCATGCTACATAAATTAAAGGGATCATCATTGATGATTGTGCATTTCCCTGTTAAAAATAATGAAATACAACAAGTAGATACCAGCCAAGAACATCAATTTAGGGATTATTAAAGAACAGTCTTTGACAGCTTACCAAAACTATTTGTATAACACAACAGCTAAAACGAAGGAATTACAGGTGAGTAAAAAATAGAGAAATATGTGATTTTGGGGGCTCTCAGTCCTCAGAGGTACAAGTTGCTGGGGGTGGGGGGTGTGGGGGGGCAAAGCCAAGATTCCACTTGTCACCAGCAAATCATCAGAGGCAGGACACAATCACCAGTGAGAGAAACCAAACACATCTATGACATTTTTATAGTGGACTGAGGCTTTAGCATGGAGCCCACAACCCTACATGTTTGAAAAAGTTGTTACTTTGGGCAGGGATGTTCACTCTGAATCATCTCAAAGTTGTTTTCAGCTCTGTAAGGTGCTTGTGAGGGAAACAAGAGCAGTTCAGAAGCTCTTCCAAGTGCCAAGCTCTCGTGAGAGCCAAAGCATCAGTGGCGCCTTGGCACTCCTTAGGGCAGTTTGGTATCTGCTCTGGACAAGAACAGGTTAAGCTAAGTCCCATCTATCTCTCTATCTCATTTCTTCAGTGTTTACAGTCTATGGCAACTGTGTGTAATCCCATGGGATACACTTCTAAATAGAAGTTTTCATGCAACACAGTCTGCTCAGTGCCTTTCCCAAGGAGCCCTGAGCCTACATTACTTAAGTGTGTACATTACAGTTTTCAAAAACAGCAGAAA